CCACCTCGCCTCCTCCCCGTCCCTGTCCCGCCCTGCGATTCCCCGCCTCTCTCGGGACCGTGGCCGGGGTCCCTCCCCGCCGCCCCTCCTCGCGCGGATGCCGAAGGTAAAGGCGCTGCAATGCGCCCTGGCGCTGGAGATCCGCTCTGTGAGTATAGGTCGGCTCCGAGAGCCCTGGATTTCTTACAACTTTCTTCACCCTCCGGGTGGTGCCTGGGGTCTCTGACTTCAGAGCACCTCAGTCCTCTGCCACCTCAAAGTCGTGAACGCCTTCCCACTACGACGGCGCAGAGGCCTGCCCCCCAGCTCAGCTCTCCTAGCTGCAGCCCAGCTTCTAGTTTTGGTGCTTTCAAGTTATTTCCAAGCCATTGCCGAGTTCCTCTCTCGCCTCCCAACTTTTCTGTGAGCGAGGACGATGGCGTTCTCTCTTCTTCTGTTCTCTCAGAGAGTTGCTGCCCCAGCCCCTCTCTGGGTGATGAGTGTGTGGATTTCCTCTTGCAGGCTCTAAGCACACCCTTTCAAACCAGTTTGCAAAGTTCCGCTTAGTGAAGTGATGTACAGTAATTCAGTTTTCACCCCCAGCAACTGAAATGTACTCTGGCGCGCAGTACATCGCCATTTCCCCCAGGGCCTCCTAGGAGAAACCCAACTCTTCAGAAATCACTTCAGGCACCTGTGTCCCCAACCCTCCCTACTAAAAGAAGGATCCCCACTCTCCCTTCTCGTCATTCTGGGAAAGGCTCCCTCAGCATTTAGAGGGAAACACCTCATTCTCCAAACTCCCAAAGCCACCCACTCTCCAGACTTGTTTAAGAGGACTCTTGGCCCAGCTTCCTGTGGAAATTCAGCTGAGGCTGGGACCTCTCTAGGATATGAGAAAACCATCTGCCTGGATGCTTGCAGAAGATCTTTCCAAGAGGCTTTGAACTGCTTCCCCACAATTCTTTAGACAATCCTCTTTTTTTTCCTCTTCAGACCTAAGCTCCAGCTTGCCTCTTCTAGAGGAAATCCCCTCCGGAGCCTCTTTGACCCCCAGTGTAATCCTGCAGGTTCAGAACTGTAAACAGTTTGGAACCAGAACTCCTGATTCCATCCCCTTCCTCTCTGACTCCTCTGGTCTCAGCCTTCTCAAGAGGGTGCTCTTACATATTGTCTGCGTGGCAGTCCCAAGGAGCCTTCTGCGGAGTTCACTTCCTGTGCACCCTACTTAGCCCAGGCTTACAGCATCCTTCTCTTTCCTGGCTAGCCTTTCTCACTCTGAGTGGAACTGTTGCAACACCGAACCTAAACCTACAAGGAAGTCACAAAATTGTTTTAGGTTTCCATGAAAAAGGATGGGGCCACGGTATGAGGCAAAGATGGAGAAACAAGCTTCTGCCACTCTGATTTCTGTTTCAAGTCTGCAGACATTTTAGCCAGACAACTCCATAGCCCTAGCTTTATATCTTTGCATTCCAAACTGCCTTTTTTAGCAACTTTATGTAAAAGAAGATTATTTTAGCAAAAGAATGCATGAGATCCTACAGGCCTGTCCAAGGGCAGTTAGTAAAACTCCAAGTTCAGTAGTACTGTTATTGGCTTCTTTCTCCCTTTTGTAACCAATGGGGTTTGGGGTTTAGCAGCCTGTTAAGTGTAAGGCTGACAGGCTGGCTGCTGCTTCCCTTCTGTTGCCAATACAAACTGGCTAAAAGGAAGTATTCTGCTGGAACTAGTTATGCTCTGAATCAGAGAAACACATTTTATTCCTCTGTACTACCTTAGCCTCAGTATTGCTTACGCTGCAGAAAATCAATAACTGCAATGGAGCTTTGTTATTCATCAAAGCTAAACCGAAGTCTGCAGGTGGGAATATTCAGGTTTTCTGGTAGACATTTGAATCACAGAATTTTATCATTCTAAGAAATCCCGAAGTCATTGTATTTGATACTTTTTACAAATGAGAAAATTGATGTGTGCCATATCCAAATTATTAATCGAAGGTTGCACAACTACTTTGGGGGTGGGTCTGCAACAAGATGCTAAAATATGCTGAGTTTTAAAACCCCCTTTAAATGTCTCTGATACTCAGGAGAGAAAAAAGAGGCCACCAGCAACTGTACAAGTTGAATGTCACCATTGATTTGGCTTTAACTGAATAGAGGTATTATGAAGACATTTTTAATAACATTTCAATTTTAATTTTTTTATTTTAATTTATTTTTTACCTTTTCATGACATGAAGATCAAAACTGTTTAAAATGATATACTCAAAAAAGTTTCACTTCTTCAGGCTACATCTCTTCAAACCTGTTTCTTACTAAACTCATCTAGTACAGGTAACCATTTTCATTTGTTATAATATAAACATATACATATACAGACCTCTTTCACATACACACCACTTTTTTGTTTCTTTTTACACAATACAGTTCCATACCTTGCTCTTTTTTCTTTCTTTACTATAACTGGAGAAATCTTTTCTTCCTGATTTTTTAAATGAAAATTTTCAAATAGAATAGCTAGAAGAATTGGGTCAGGGGATATTTGTATCCTATGCCTTATGTATATTAATTTGATTTATCTGTATATGTTTGCTTATGTATAAAATATTTTTACTGAAAACTTGAAACTAAAATAGTGAGTCTATTCCTGAGTATTTCAACATTCTTCTTCCAAAATAAAGCTATTCTTCATAACCAAATGCCATTATCACACCTAAATTAGTGATGATCTTAATATCTAGTCCAATTCTGATTTACCCAGGTGTAACAGAATGACCCTTATAGATAATTTTTTGATGTAAGATCTAACCAAGGTTTACATGGTAAATTTGATCATTAGAATTTTGGGGTTTTGTAGTTCATTTTAATATAAAAGAATTCTATTTTTTTTCATTTCCATCATTGCCCCCCTTTGGATTTTGATAAATTCATACATTCATGTCATCATTACCCAGATCAAGACTTACAATGCTGCTGAAGCTCCACAAAACTCCTTTGTGCCCCTTTCAAGTCCTATACAAAAGGAAATGCTTTTCTAGTTTTTATTGCTATAGATTAGTTTGCCAGTATTTGGACTTCATATTATCTGTACTATTTTGTATCTGGGTTCTTTTGCTCAGCATGTTTTTGAGATTCAGACATGATGTGTATTTTGATGGCTTATTCTGTCATTTAAGTTTGTGGAGTAGTGTTCCCTTACATGTGCATACCACATCATGTTTACCTATCATCACCTTTTAAAATTTTATTGACAAACACATTCACAGAATGTAAAGTGCTGTGTGATAAATGTGTACCATGTGTAATCACTAAGTCCCATAATTCACATAAAATCACATAATTCGCAATTGTAGGATAATTCACACATATATTATATAACATGCTTTTGTGGTAAAAACATTTAAGGTCTATCTCGGATATTCTAGTATACAATACATTATTATGAACTATAATCACCATGCTGTATGTTACATCTCCGGAACTTATCATCCTTACTGAAGCGTGGTACCCTTTAACCAACATCTCTGCATTCCCCACCCTGCTCTCTCTCCTCTAGCAACCCTGATATTAATCTACGGTATTTGGAGCTTGATTTTTTTTATTCTACTTAAACATGAGATCATGCAATATTTGTCTTTTGGGGCCTGGCTTAACATAACGTCCTCCAAGATCATGCGTATTATTACAAATAACAAGATTTTAGTATTTTTTAAGGTTTAATAGTATTCCAGCCTCAAAATGTACAGCTTGTTATATTTAAAAAACTCAGCTCATTCTTTGATGGAGACAGGTTGAGTCCGTATCTAGACTTTTGGGAATAATGCTGCAGTGGACATGGGAAGAACGCTTCCACACACTGACTTCCCTGCATTTGGCTATGTACCCAGAAGTAGGATTATAAGATTATTATGGTTCTAATACAAGGATTTCTTTCTCTTCACCTTCTTGCCAACCAATACATTAGTTCCTGGGTTCAGGATGTTTTTATTTGCGAAGAGTTTGATCTGCCAACAGAAGCATTTAGCAAAATCTTGTTTTTGTTCGCAAACCCTGCATCAGGTGACAAACATAAATACAGCTATCTTCCCCACACAAACAAAAAGAAGGCCATCATTTCCAAAATCGTAGAACAAATTAAATTTGTGAACCGATGCAGCACTACCATCTTTTGTCTTTTTGATAGTAGCCATTCTGTATGTGTGGTGATATCTTAATACGGTTTTGATTTGTATTTACCTAGAGATGGGGGCAACTTTTCCAAATACCTGTTGGCCATTTGTAAGTCTTTTGAGAAATGTCTATTCAGATTCTTTGTCCATTTTAAAAATCAGTTTTTTTGTTTGTTTGGTTGTTTTCTTGCTATTGAGTTGTTTTCGTCCATATACATTTTGAGTATTAACCCCTCATCAGATACATGGTTAGCTAATTTTTTTCCATTCCATAGGATATCTCCTTACTCTTTTGATTTCTTCATTTACTGTTTAGTTTGGTGTCATTCATTGCCTGCTTGATGGCATTAGAGTTATTTCTGCAGTGTGATTGTTATAGATAAAACTATAATGCACATTCATTCTTTTTTATAGGGAGACACTACTTTTTGAAGAGACTGGGTTTAAATATAGAATATCATATGTTATGTTACTGCCTGATTGTTTTTTACTGTTGTCGTGAAATTTAATTTTTTGCCAACTTCTATAAATTGGAAACTAAATGTTTTGTCTCTCCTTGACTATTGAAAGTGGCATCGTATTCTACTCTCTCTTTTACATGTTTATTTTTCTGTTGTAATCTTGTATTACTAGTGGCAATCTCATAAATGTAATACTGTGACAGTAAGAGAGAAAAATCCTAGCAAACATGAAAGATTTGGATATATCACACATTTTATGTTCCCATCAAAACTATAGTATAGGACTTGAGAGAAAATATATTGCTAGGAGGAAAGTGTGGCTTTTTTCAGTGAATCTTTGGGGAATTGTTTTGAACATCCATCAGAGATCTATAGTTTTCAACACTTACACTTTTTATATTTGAAATATCTTCAATAGAAAGTATCTTTCTACCTTCTCTCTATTTTATCCACTTTTTTGTGTTATTTAGTACAATATTTAAATCTTCATGAAATTATTTGGAGAAGAAAGAAGGAAGAAACTGGAGTAAGGACCATGTCTATTCAATGAAACTGGCCAATTGTTTTTACCGTGTAGTGTAGTTTGGGGTTAATTGTGTATAATTCCCAGTTTTTCTTCTCACTTAACTTCATTCACCTAACTCATATTAATGATATCGTTAGGGAAAACAGAGCTACTTCCTTTTCAGTCGCTACTCATCTGAACTCTTGACTATCTTTGAGGTTCTTTTCCAGTTTCTGTGGAATTGTATCTGTCTTGGTCCTGTTACCATTGCTGATAAATTTATCTGGAACATAAATTTGTAAAAACTTGCATTTTAAAATACTTCACCCTTACCGAAAATAGTATACTGAATCTGTGTGCCCCCCTTTAACAAATGATGTGTTCACATTTGCTGTAGATAGTTGTTTTTAAGAAATAAAATGTAGGCGAGGCCTTCTTTGTATTTCTTACTTACCTTATTTTCTCCTCTCCCTTTCTTAAGTTAAGGTAAGCCGTATCCTGAAGTTGAAATGTTATGTTTTCATTAGAGTTTTTGTAATTTTACTACATATTGAAAGGGGTCTCAAGCCCCCTTTGGGTGCCCCTTACCCAATTATGCCACTCATGCACCGAGAGGTCCAGCAGGAGATCTTTATTGTAGGGAGGCGAGCGGGTGGCAGGAAAGCACAGAGAGCAAGAGAGAGGAGGAGGAAGAAGCAGAAGGAGAGAGAAGAACAAAGAAAGGAAGGTCCTTTTATCAGTTTGGGGGTGGGCTATTGCTTATTTATGAGGAGTGAGCTACTTTTAACCTATCACAGGCCAGATTGCTTTTATGGGCCCAGTCCTGCAGACACAGGTTTCAACTTCTCTGGACCACTGTGGCCTTGGGGGGTGAGGGAAACCAGAGATAAGGGCATGAGGTCATTTTAGAAGCCAAGATGTACCAGGAGAATGCAGCCTGTGAGGCGGCGTCACAGCATACTTTAACATGATCAATTCCCTAGCACATATCTGTGTATGTTTGTTTATATGTCACTTATCCAATTGTTTCATTCATTTAAAAAAGTTTACACAGTACCATGCTATATGTATCTTTCTGCTTTTCTGCTTCTGTTTTTTAGATTTGTCAGTGTTGATTCTTACAGATTCATTTCCTTAATTATTATATAATGGTGTTTATTTATATGGCAGTTATTTAATTTTTGTTCCCACATGGATTTTTAAGTATTAGTAGTTTCTACCTTTTTATTTTACATTTTTCCAATGAATACGTTTATACATATCTTCTAGTATCCATGTGTTAGTTGTTCTCCAGGATGGGTACAATGTTCTAAGAAGCATTTCACATATATTGGGATGTTTTTGTCATGGTGCTTGGGGTGGTTCAACTGGAATGAATTGTATGAGACCCTTTTTGACTTGATTTTTCACAGAATATAGTAGCACCTCCTTAGATAGCTTCTAAAACCCCTAGTGGATGCTGAAACTGTAGCTATTATAAAACTCTACAACTGAGTGACTCTTCCATATTAACTAAACGTGAATTTCTTTTTCCTTTTCCACTGTTTCATGGATGGAAGATTCATTTTTATCATATATTTTAGCAACCTCACCATAATAATGTTTTAATCTTGTAAGTCGGGAACTTTCTTCTTTTCACTCAAAGGAAGTACTTTATGGCTTCTCTCTGGTATATTTGAATTACCAGCATCATTACTCCTGAACTTTTGGACATCATTAAGTAAAACAGCAGTTATTTGAACATGAGTATGGCTGTACCTTAACAGTCAGTCTGATAACCCAGGTGGCTGTGAAGTGACTAGGTGGATAGTGTATACAGTGTGGGTTCTCTGGACAGAGGGATGAGTCATGTTCCAAGCTGGAGATGTGGCAATGTGGCATGGGATTTAAAACTTATGAATTATTTCTGGAATTTTTCATTTAATAGTTTTTCACTGGTTGACCATGGTTAACTGAAACTATAAAAAGTGAAATCACAAATGGGGGGACTACTATATGTAGATGAAAAACTTGTTTATATGGTT